CGCTGGCCAGGGGAAAGGGGTGCTTCACCAGACTGCCCAATGACCCAGCACCTTCAGCTTCTGCAGGCGTCTTCCCCTCACAACTGAGGAGGCACTCAGAATTCTCTGCTCAAAGAAACAGGCCTGGCTAATTGACTTTAGGTCGTGGAAGGGCAGAGCTCGTTGCGAGAGCTCCCAGGCTAGGGGAAGGGAGCCGTTCCACACCTGCGAACTGTTGTGGGCCCCGAGCTTGCGTTAGCCCGCCCCCAGGGCACTGACTCCAGAGGGAGCCGCTCAGGGGCTGGGAGGTACCCGATCAGGGAGTCAGTCGAGTCACCAGGGTGCTCCACTGTCTCCTTTATGTCTCTCTCCCCCAATCTCACGCCAGTCCGGCAATAGCTCTGGCTTCTATTGGCCCACCCTGAGCAGTCCCAGTTGCCAGCGGCAGTTTCCAGGTTAGAGTCCTCTACTCAGTAATCACCTCCCTGTTGAGGACCCACTGGGTGCCAGAGACCAGCTTCCTGATTCCTAACTGCCTCCGGAGGTAGCCCAGACCAGCTCTTCCCCTGTCCGGTGCAGTCCTGACACGGAGCTCCGGGAAGTTCAAGTTGCTTCCAGCTCATGTGTCCTCTCCGCTGAGCCCCCCGTTTCCTGACCCAATTCTACATCCACTTCACACAAGCCCCTGCCTCTCAGTGGGCTTGTAAGTCAGTGGGGAAGCTAGACTGTCTCGTGAGGGACTTGTCCCAGTGCACTTACTGGCCAGGCTGGCGCCGCCGTCTCACGCTCCACTCTCTATTGTCTATCTGCACTTTCCAGGTTTTGCATTCCTATCTCCCGTTCACCTCACTCTTTTTCTTGATTTGTGTGTCCCCCACTGAATCTCCACCAATTCACCTCGCTGTTTTTGTGGGAGAGCGATCCGATCGTGTGTAGCAGACCAAGACTGACGTCTCTTTCTCTGGAAGCAGGGATCCGGAAGGCTACCTTAACTCCACCATTCCCCCCCCACTAAGAAAGCATTCCTTAAGGCCTCTTCCTCTTTTCTTTGTCATAAAGTTCAGTGAAGTGCTTGTACTCCCGGGCCCAGAGAGGAGAAAACATTTCCCCTGCCTCACCCAAGCACTCCTCAGTGGGTTTTCTAGGGGACCTGATCATGTCCCTGTGCAGGGGGCAGAGCTCTGGGAATTTCCCGTAGAGAAGGCCTGGGATGCAGTGCTGCCCTCCAGGAATTCTGTGTGGCCTTGGGCAGGGCTGAGCCTGTGCTGAAGAGTAAGACCTTGGGCTCTAAAGCTAGAGGACCTAAACTTGCATCCTGGCTCTGCTAGTAATTAGGGATGTGACCTTGGATGTCAGTTAACCTCTCTGTGGTTTAGTTTCCTCATCTTTAAAATAGAGTTTGTAACAATATCAATGTCATAGGGTTGTTGGACAGACTGAGTAAGTTAAATCAGGAAAAGCACTTAGAATTAGGTATTGCTAACTGAACTAAGGCCTATGTGTGAGCAAATGTGAGGGTGTTAGTGGGAGTTTGTGTGTGAGAGTTTTTTTGGCAGTCCCAGTTGAAAAACCACTCCAGAATTTAGAACTACTGGCTTAAATGGCCAGTTGTCTTCTCCCAGGTCCATCCTAGTCCATCCTTGTTCTTCTTCTCGACCAGAGGAGCTCTTGGTTTTAAACTGGGCTGGAAGACCTGGGGGACCCTAAATGATACAAAGAAGTGAAGGAGAATAAAGGGGATGGATGCCTCAGAAAATCATACAGGGACACAGAGTCAAGAGGGCCGAGCAGTCCTGCAGTGGTCTTCTCATGGGGATAAAGAAGTCCTTGGTCCTCTTGGGTCAAGTCTGGTCAGTTTTCTTCATGCAAAGATGAGGAAAGAGGCCTAGGCAAGCCTGAGGTCTCACACGTCCCATCCTCCATGTCCTGTTGATTCTGTTGTCTTTATATCTTTCAAAGGAGGATAGAGTTTAAGGAAAGAAAGAAAGATCAACTGCTTAATGCTGTTGGAAGCTTAAGTAAAAGATGCTTTTACTTCATGGATTTTATCCCAATGTTCAATCCAATATTTATTTGTATTTATTTGTTCTGTTTGTCTTTCTATTGTTACAGTTTAAGCCTCATGAGGAAAACAATTCTCACTGTTTCATATTTAGTGCTTGACACATGCCCTGAACACAGCAGACGCACAGCCCAACCAACAGACAGTGACATTCAGGTGAGATTCTCACCTCTTCCAATGCCAAGAGAGAACGTCCATGGACCTGCCACTGTCGTCACCACCACCCCCAACCATGAGGGCCAGAAGTGATGGCTATTTCTCTCCTCCAGCCACCAAAATTTATATGCCACACATTTGGCCAAACCAAGTTTTGCCCTGCTGAGAAGAATGGGGAGTTGGGTGCTGAGTTACAGGAAAGTAATCTTACTTTAATTTATTCACACCCTCAAGATGTGACCTTGAAATTTGCATCTATTACTAAATTGTTCCTGAACAATATTGACTCCCTATACAGCAAGGAATTCTTTGGTCAGTGAGATGTCTGGACAGGCTTCCCAGAAGAGTAAGGACTTAGGCTAACAGTATAAAACGACAGAAATATCAGAGTGTTTATGCTCCTGATATCACAAATTCCCTGCACAACCTGTGCACTGATACTGATAATCTGAGCCTAATGCTTCTCTGTATGTTCTTTGAGACTGAACTTTGATTCAATGATAACAGCACCAAGAAAGAAGATAAGCCATTCAATGTTGATGAGGACACTGTGTTTCCCTTACATCTATAATTACTTTTCCTTGGCTGTGTAGTAATTATTTTTTTATTTGTCTTCATTTCCAAAGAGAATAATGTCTGGGTCTTAGTCACCTTTGTACCCTAATCACTTCAAGCAGAGATTTGAAAGTACATTTTGAATGCTTTGATACAGGAGCACATGACAGACACAGGGTGGTTGGGGTGTTTTTCTGATATGCAATGTCTTCCTTCACTTGTTCAACATGACTCTTACTATGCAAATCTCTTCATGTTAGAAGACGTTACCTTCTCTAGAATTAAGTAGCACAAAGAATATGCCTTCTATTATTTACTCTTGCAGAACACGTCCGTTGACAATGGTTGGGACTCAGTGCCCGGTATATTTCAGTTCCAACCAATGACCAGTCTATAGTGTTGATATAGACTCCAACCAATCAATTCAGTTCCTGAGGTTCACAGGACAAATGAACGGTCATGTCAGGCTTAGTTACTTGTAGGCAAGTGTGTGTTTTGGAGGAAGATGAACAAATTAGTTTTTATAGCAGTTTTGTTTCAAAAAGAATAAGAAAGGATTTAAGTTTAGGTGAGCTAATTAAGTTGTTAATAGTTATCAAATGACACTATACCCTTTCCTAGTGTGAATGTATTCTGTGGACCTCTCTGTTTGGAAGCATGAAGAGGGAGACACTCTCAACAATACTCTCAACAATACTCTCAACTCTCAACAGGCCACAGGATGGAAAGAGTTGGTGAGGGCTGAGTAACAATTTGTAGTAGGGCTGAGAGAAAGGATAACGAGAGAAGGAAGTGCACAAACTCAGCTTAAATGTCTTCTATTTCTTTTGAGTTTTAAGAACTTCGAGGTTTTATTTGTCACGTAATTCATGATTCTTCAGGCCAAGCAGTCCACGTGATAATAATGAGCTGATATAGTTTTCACTCTTGCCCTCTTGCTCACTCTTGCCCTCTCCCATCAGAAATGGATCTGAGAGCTCATACGGGACAAGAATTGTCACAATGACAGCCCTCTCCTTACCAGCTCCTGAGACATACTCTTCTCCATTAGAAAATCCTCCACTCCTCAAAATGCAGAAAACCATCTGCTTTGAACACCACTGCCCACGTAACAAGGCTCAGATAATCTTTCTGGAGTCCTGGGTACTGTGTATGCCTGTAGGGACCTCTGCCTCACCATTGGTGGTTGAGGTCCACCTGAACATCCAGGCTGCTATTGTCTTCCTCTCTCCTTTCTAACTCATTGTTTCCTGAACTGCAGTCTACCCTGAGAGAGGGGGCTATTTTTTTTAAGAATATGTCTATCTTGCTGTTTAATGCAGGACCCCCTGTAGGTGCATAAGAAGCAGCAGGAATGATACTCTAGGGTGCAGCCATCAGCTCCATCTTGTCCACACTGTCCTTCTCTTAGGAGCCCTCTACAGAACCACCGTTAATCAGCCTGAACATGCAGAGATGGGGGCTGAGGCACAGCCAAGCGCTTTTACTGGATTAATAATCAAGGAAGATGGTGGGTTTACGAAAGTCAGAGGGAAAGGACACACAGGGGCCCAGCCATATCACCAGCTCAACTCCAATAGCCTTTTTGGATGCCCGCTGTGTGTGAAGCACTCTATTAGGGGCTGAGGACATAGTAGTGAAAAATACCAGACTGTGCCCTAACTATGCCCTGGACAAGCTGACCATCTGCTAATGGTCACAAATGTGGAAACCCACAATGGTGGTAGAGCATCGAGTGGACGATAGCAGAACTGCATGAGGGGGATAGGAGTTGCCTAGAGGAGAAAGTGGTGATAGCTGTGTGGGGAGTTTAGGCAGGGAAAACTCTAAGAGAAGGGTCTGTCTTCCTGGGTTTGAAGGAGGAATAAGAGTGTTCCAGGGGCCTTAGGGGCAGTGTAGGCAGAGGAAACTGTGTGAGTAAAGATCTGGAGACATAGCTTCTTTGGATGCATTTCTCATATTTCAAAACGAAGGAAGCCCTGGAAACAAGGGCAGATTAGAGGAAATTTAATATCAGTGGCTGTACCTGAGTTTATAATGTGAACCTGTAACCTTTGGACTTAGTGATAACACTGATTGAGTTTCTGTGATTTACTGCAGAATATGAACTCTAGGAAGCTCAACGTGGGTGTGTTTATGATTCTTTGCCAACTGCCAAGGCTCCTCTGATGGTGGGTGGAGCACAGGTGGCCCTGCTATTGGCTGCAGCTCTGGCCCTGCCTCCTTTCCCAGCACATAAACATTCCAGCCAGGCTCCACACATGTAGCCCAGCAGCGAGCAACACACAGCTGAGACAACAACTCAGAGAAGAGAACTGAAGAAGGAAAGCAGAGATGGACCTCATCCCAGACTTTGCCCTGGAAACCTGGGTTCTTCTGGCTACCAGCCTGGTTCTCCTCTATGTGTGAGTATCTGTCCAAGCTCCACTGTTCTGTAACTTTAGACATGGGGTACAATCTGGCACCTGTTTCTCTTATCTGTTTTGAAGATCAAAGGAGATAATTGAGGGAAAGTTGCTTAATTGTTGGATGCTACAAAAACATACGGTTGTTGATCTTATGTAGATCTGTGGAAGGAATAAATAAAACTCCCCCGACACCATCCATCTCCCAAGTTCTCTAACTAGGAGCGTTCAGTGACGGCCTTTGGTCCTGGGGCTGATTTCTGATTGACCATGAGTATGGACCTAGACTAATCAACCAGAATTCAGCACAGGCATATTATAAACAGCTGGGCACTGTGTGCTTGAGATCCTCACCTTCTTCCCAAGCTCCGGGGATTGTAGGCACAGGAGAGGGTGGCTTGGTGATTGTCTCTTTAACTTCTCCTCTGGGTTCTGTGTCTGCTGTAAGATATGTGTACAGGGATTGTGCCCTATAAACCTGGGTGGCTCCTGCTTCCCTGCCTTCTACCCCAATAATGATTTACACAGGCACCATGGGATACCCCAGACTTCATGGGAGGCTCTCCCTTGCCTTGTACCTCTTTTCTGTGCCATCCCCCAGAACTCTTCTTGCTCCTATAACTCAACTCCTCCATCCAGTAATATGCAGAATTATTTACTTCTAAATGGTGGATATTTAGAGCAGAGGAGAGATCTGGAGGAAATCATGAAATTTTATTACTTTCTTTCACCTTTTTTGTATAGTGTCTGGGCGGTTAGCATTAGCATAGAGCTTTATTTCTCCCCTGATATTAATCCGCAAGAGGCCTGAAAAGCAGGAACGACAAAATCCAATTTAAGTTATCTTAATCTGTCAGTCTAAAGTAGTATGTGAGACTGTGAGCCAGTGGGAATATAAGAGGCACCCAGGGAGCAGGCAGAATGAATTGAGAGAATATTCCTCATCCCTCATGGCCCAACCCCCAGAGATAGTTGTGAGTCCTGGCCCCCATTAGAGATACTTCATGGCAGATGGGCTAGCATCTCACCTGCTTAAAGCCTAGGCACAGGGACACCATCTGTGTCACTCTGTGTGTGGTGTCTCTGGTAGTGAACCTATCGTAGACATTGAGGTAGCCTGGAAAACAATACCTTAGCTCCAGAAGACACTGGTGCAACCCAGGAGTCCGTAGCTGTAGCATAGACAATGCCCTATTTATGGCAACACAATTAAACACAAGAGAAATGATTGGGTTTTCCTATTACCCTTCATTGTACCAAAGGAACATTACCAAAAAGAGGAGAGCTGGTAAGAAACTAAGAAATTCACCCAGCCTGTCCTCTGCTTTATAGGGTCCCATGCAAGTTTAGAAATAGGCTAGATCTTTCCTTGGGGGCCAATGCTGTTGACAAATTAGCTTCACTGCATGGCCTCACTTGAGAGTTCACGTATCATGTCGAAGTTCAGAAACAGAGATTAGTTTAATGGGTTTGCCATGGTAACAGTAAAAAAGGAAAGGACTGGAGTAGGAATAACCAAAGCCTCCCTGGTTTTAGCAGTTGGTGCAGACACTTCCACTAATTCTTCTGGCGGAAGGATCCAAGTGGGCCTAGCTGAGCTGTGGCTGCTGGTCCTTCCAATACATGTACTTTCACACCAGTTTTCAGTTTTATTTTATCACATATTATAAGATTTACTGGATTTGTACAGAATATTTGGAAACTATAGTGGCCTGAAAGCTAGCCTGTAAAGAAGAGGAAATAAGGTCTTAATTCAATTATCTGGAACATTTTAGAGTTATTTATGTCATGTAACATAATGTATCTTATGCAATCAACAAGATGGAAGCTGAACTTTGGAAGGCCCTTCTCTTTCAGCTAACACCACCTGTGGGAAATGTGGAACCATTTATACACACCATACTTTTCAGCCACACTTTCCTCATTTGCCTCTATAGGGCCAACCTTGTGGGCCTAGAAGCTTCACGGTTAGCTTTGTGCCTGGGAGCCACTTTCCTCAGCCTCTATACTTCCTCCCATCTGCAATCACTCGGTAGCACCACAGTGGGAAGGTCTGCAGGGATCCAGAACCCCCAGTTGGAGGAGGTCATACATGACACACCAATGATGTCTGCACCAGCATTAATGGATTTTCCTACAGAGGGAGTTGATGTGCAGAGGTGGTCAAATGACTGCTTTGTAATTGGCCATCTTGGGAAAAATGAGTGTGCCTGGCACTGTGCTTCTCAGGGATCCCCTGTTGGAGGACCACATTCCAGAAGGGGAGGAAGGGCCTGGACATGGATTCTGTAGTCATTGGTTCCTCTGTGGAGTGTCATTCTGGGAACATACAGGGGACCCATCCTTCCCTATGGCTCAAGTTAACCAGATCATCTGATCACGAACACTTGGGTGTAGATAAAAAGTGCTCACTTTTCTACAAGTCCAATGGAAGCCTTGAACACTGTTGTCATTCTATAAAAATAAGAACACTGTGAATCCTCTAAGACCTCCTTCTGAAGGCGGTTTTACAAAGGTTTTACAGATCTTAAAACAGGGTCAGATTTTAGAGGGAAGAGAAAGCATAAGCCTCAGAGCAAACCCTAAGAACAGTGTCACCATAGGTTTTTGGTGACCTTCTGTGATTGAGCACGTGCACTTACACAAAATCACATCACTGAAGCAGAAGAAAAAAATTTACACCTTTTCTACTTAGAGCAAGAATTTCCAAATCATGGAAGAGTTAATTTACTAAACGGACATAAGAGAATGAAATGCCCTGGGAGAATTCCAGTCTGAACCACTCAAGGAGCATTCCATTTGGGGGACATTTATAAAGTATTCATGCCAGGATTGGAACCCTGAAGATTACAGCTCCTTTTAGCTGATCATTTTGACTTGGAGTGGGTCTCACACAGGAGGCAGGAAAGAAGATGATGGGCGAATGCGGTTATTGCCGTTGACGTTTCAGTTATTAGGTATTGCCGAGGTACAACTTCTCTCTCTTGGCCACTGCAGTTCCTTATTCAGTTACCGGACAGCTCCCGTATCTATAAAAACACAATCCCTGTTACTTGGCTTTCTCTTTCACTTTATAGATATGACACTCATTCACATGGACTTTTCAAGAAGCTGGGAATTCCTGGGCCCGCACCTCTGCCTATTGTGGGAAATATTCTGTCTTACCGCAAGGTGGGTTTTTTTTTGAACTCTTTCTTTTTGCTTCTTATGGTTGCAAACACCAGCTTATTCCATTGGTAAAAATGCCCCTCCTTTCTGAAATTTTACACTTCAAAAATGATGTGTAGGACACACCCAGCGCATAGTCACGTTCATCCTGGGGCTCTGTTGTTTATTCTCAGGAGCCTCAGGTTTGGCTCAGTTGAACAGCCCAGATCTCTGGCAGATCGGAACTTAATGTTCAGGGCTTGATGTTCAGACTTTGTCAGCAAAGTCTTTTTTGGCTAGTGCATATTCACAGGAAGGTATAGTCATATTTAGCATTAGGAAAAATGCAGGAAGGGGGACCCCTAGTAGTGGCTCATTAAGCTTTGTGCACCAAATTCAAACTTTGTTGTTTAGGAAGAGCAATTGAGTAGCCTTGTTTTCCTTCCCCCTACACAGCTTGGAAACTTCAGTTTATTAAGGCAGCCCTTGTATTCATGGGGTAATTTGTACCTACTTGAATTCTCTCAAGAACTGCCAAATTCCCTCTGGGTACTTCATAGTTGTACCCCAGCTTTTACTCTCCATGGTATATTTTGGAAATTTACCAGGCAGAACAAGAGAGTTCTGCTTTGTTTCTTTTCCTTGAACGGCGGAACCCTCTGGATGAGTCTGAGCAGAGAGTGGATATAACAGAGACAAGATGGTGGTTGTCCATTGACTTCAGATATTTACCCATGAAATTAATTTTGTTTTCTTTTTTTTGTTTTAACAAAACTTTTGCAAACTGTCTAGAAAGGAGATGATTTGACAAAATTACCAAGAATTGGCTGGGCCTGGTGGCCCACACTCATAATCCCAGCATTCTGAGAGGCTAAGGCAGGAGGATCGCTTGACGTCAGGAGTTAGACACCAACCTGAGCAAAAATGAGACCCCCCCCCCGTCTCAATGAAAATAGAAAAAAATTAGGAAGGCATGATGGTGTGCGCCTGTAGTCCCAGCTACTCGAGAGGCTGAGGCAATAGGATTTCTTGAGTCCAGGAGTTTGAGGTTGCTGTGAGCTAGGCTGACAAGACCACACTTTAGCCAGGGCAATAGAGCAAGACTCTGTACCAAAAAAAAAAAAAAAAAAAACCAAGCATTTAAATTAATTGTACTATAAGTGTCATGAGGACTGTGAATTTTGGCCAAGCCAATGTGGCTAATTCCTCACGCAGGAACATAAAGTCATCAGCTCACATCCATGAGGCGACCAGCAAAGCCTGTGTGCAGACTGGTCTCTGGCCCAGATTTCCTTTCCCGCACACCTCAGGCTTCCTGCTCAGATTCTAATTCTCCCAACTCAGGCATTTCTTGCCTAATTACTGCCTAAGATTCCATATTTTTCCCTCTGCAAAAGCAATAATATCCTGTTCACCTTGCTCAGATCAGCACTCCACTAGGTGTACCCCAAGATCCATATTTGTGGGACCTTCTTTTGCATAGTTAAAATATCACAACTGAAACATAGCACCAGGAAAGTTTGTTTTTGAGCTTCAGAAGTGAAGACTTGGAGCAAGTACGGTCCTATGTGAAGAAGCTGCGTTTCCTGATCTTTTCCATTTTGAACTGGACAGCAGCAGGCGAGCCCATTTTGTCATTTCCTCTGTCACTCGTTACTCATTTTTCACTCAGCAACATGCCTTAGACTGATATAAATCTGTAGACCTAAAGAGATCCCTGATGTCTTTGACTTCCAAATTCCACTAGAATTCTAGAGAAAGCTCCTGAGATAAATGAAAAGGATGCTGCATGAGATGAAAGAATGTGCATCCCCCTAGACACTTGCTCGCTCTCCCTCAGCCTCAGTTTCCTCATATGCCCATGCAGGTGACCATTCAGATGGTTATGAGATGTTAGAAAGAATACTTGCATGTGCAAAAACACTTCAGAAATACGGGAAGTTATTTAGTATTCATAAACAATGGTAAATCATTCTATATCTACAATATTTGGAGAAAATGCAGGGTGACAGTAAATCATCCGTTGCAATTATCTTCTTTATTTTCCCCCATTGCCCTGAACATCTCTGAACAAAACGTTTCCTCTTACTTCCAGTGAAACATAGTCAGCCTGATTTCTTCAGATTCCACTCTTTTTTTCCCGAATAGGAGGCAGGGTTGAGGATATTTAAAATACCAATTAAATTTTATTTTGTTTCTCCTCCCAGGGATTTTGGAATTTTGATGAAGAATGTTATAAAAAATATGGGAAAATGTGGGGGTGAGTATTCTGGAAACTTCCGTTGGAAAGACTTGTTGCTATGATAATGTACCCCACATATGCAGGACAATCTCAGCCCAGAGCCTCTTGGGAGGAAGCCGCTGTCAACCAAAATAACAGAGAGAGGCTCTCTGAAAGAAGAAGATACTTATTTGGGAGTAAAGCATTCCAATGGAAATGTGCACGCTATAGCAATCTATGTGCCATTCAGGGAAGTAAAGGAAGAAAAAGGTTGTTAAAGGGAAAAATGAGCAGGATAACAGAACTATTTTGAAATAATTGTCCATAGCTACAAAGATCAATAACAAGGGGAAACCAATATGAGGTTGGACAGGCAGTTACTGGGCAGATGTCCTCCCTGAAATACTTTTACTCTAATAATACTGTGCTCTTTGTGCAGGTGTGGTTTTTGTAGAGTATTTTGTGACAGTTTTGTTTTTAGACATGCAAGCATGAGAGTGCTCTCTTCGTAGCCTTCCCAGGATCTGTCAGATTTTATTAATTTTTATACCATCATTGTGACTTGTTTTGGTTCTGACAAATTTCACACTTTCTATTGAAAAGCTTTCAGAGGTTTATCCTGTCAAGAATTCCATAGGTTAGCAGCTGTTAAGGTCTGTGGTCTCAATGAGGCTGAGAACGCTGCAGGTGACCATTTTTCTCCAGGTTTGATGGCCCAGGGACTCGCAGCATTACTTTCTATCCAGTGTCTGGCTTTTCACCTCTTCTCCTATTTTCCTACCTTAGGTTACCTTTAATTCAATGAAATGCTTCATTTCAGACTGTTCTAGTATGAGCTCATAGATGCATGGCATTAACTCCCTCCCACAGTGATTCATTTTTTTTTTTATTTCAGCAAATTATGGGTGTACATATGTTTAGGTTACGTGTGTTGTCCTTGGTTCCCCCCCCCCCACCGAAGTCC